TACAAAATATATGGGATGCAACCAAAGCATATTTTCGAGGTGTAGCGATAACATACATGGCGGAAAAAAATAAAGAAAAGAGACAACAATGTCAGTTGTTAAGAAAAGAATTTAAAAAAATAGAACTTGAACTACAAATAAACCCATAAAAGAAAATATTGAAATGACAAATGGAAATAATAAAACATAAATTAAATGTAATAGAATCAGAAAAATTGGCACAACAAATTAAAAGGACAAAGCAAAACTTCTTTGAAAATGCAAACAAACCAGGAAGATGGTTAGCTTATAAACTTAAAAAACAGAAAGAGAAAAAAATTGATAAACAATTTAGTAGATGAAAAAGTCTGTTTACAATTTAAAAATGAAGCAATAAAAAAGATAATTAAAGAATACTATGAGAAACTGTATGATAAGGAAGAAACTCCATGGGAGAAAATGACTCAATATATGGAAGAAAATAATTTACCAAAAATTCCAGAAAACTTTAAGACAATGTTAAATGAAAAAATAACAATGATGGAATTGACATAGGCAATAAAAAGACTAAAAAATGAAAAAACCACCGGGACCAGATGGGCATCTGGCAGAGTTTTAAAAATATTTACAAAATATATTAAATTCACTATTGAAAAATGTATGTAATGAACTTTTATTGGCAAAACTCCCAAATACATGGACAGAAGCTAATGTTACTTTGATACCAAAAGAGGACTCAGATTTGACTCAGATCAAAAACTATAGACCGATATCACTACTGAATGTGGACTATAAAATCTTTACTTCAATAATAGCTGAGAGGCTGAAAAGATATTTGACTGAATTTATACACCCAGATCAAAATGGATTTTTGCCAAAGGGACAGATAAAAAATAATTTGAGGGTAATACTAGATATATTGGAATATTATGAACTTCATCTAGGGAAACAACTGGCACTAGTATTTTTAGACGCCCAAAAGGCATTCGATAATGTTTCTTGACAATTTATGATTCAACAACTAAAAACAATGGACTTTGGTCAAAACTTTATAAATACAATTCAGACAATATATCAGAAACAAACAGCAAAAGTAATTGTAAATGGGGATTACACAGAGAATTGTGATAAATGAAAAGGCACAAGACAAGGATGTCCATTATCCCCATTGCCAATTATCTTAACTTTGGAAGTTTTAAATAGAAACAATAGACAAGATCAAGAAATTAAAGGATTGAAAATAAAAGGTGAAACCTTCAAACTGCAAGCATTTGCAGATGATTTGGTATTCATTCTAGAGCATGGGTCGGCAACACACAGCTCCGGAGCCGCATGCGGCTCTTTGAGCTATCTCCTGCGGCTCCGGAGCCTCCTCCGCCATTTGCACAGAGAGAGAGAGAGAGAGAGAGAGAGAGAGAGAGAGAGAGAGACAGAGAGACAGAGAGGCACTTGCACTTCCCTTGTCTCTCTCTCTCTCACATGCAGACTTGCCCCCTCGCAGAGCTCCTGATTGGCCCTGAGCCTGGTTGCCCCGCCCCCTGGGAGAAGGGTGGCCAGGAAGTCCTTTTCCCGGGCTGGTCCCATCCAAGGTGCACGTGGCCGGGGAGCCACACAGGGAAGCCCCGGGATCCCCGCTGGGAGCGGCCCAGCGGAGCCGCTGAGCGGGCCAGCCCTCCCGCAAGCCGCGGCCCATTGCCCAAGCAGCAGCAGAGCTGGAGATGGAGGATGAGTGGCGGGGGGGAGGGAGGGGGCTTCGAGTTCGCGGAGCGCCGCAGTAAAGGGGCCGTGGGCCAGGTGGCGCGGCCCCCTCCCAGCTTACCTGTACCAGGCGGAGGGGCAGCCGAGCCGGCCATGCGTCACCCCAGACCGGTCGGCAGTACCGGCTGGGGTGGTGGCCGGCAAAGGCATCGGTTTCTGGGCCGTCCCCGGGCTGGCGGGGGCATCGTTCCTGGGCCGTCCCTGGGGCGCTAAGCCAGCCATGCATCGCCCAGAACTGGGTGGCAGTCCCAGCTGGGGCGGCAGTTGGCAGGGGCATCGTTCCTGGGCCATCCCTGGGCCACTGAGCTGGCCATGTGTTGCCCCGTGCCGGGCGGCAGTCCCGGCTGGGGCGGCGGCCTTTGGGGGCATCGGTTTTTGGGCCGTCCCCGGGCCACTGAGCCGGCCACGTGTCGCCCTGGGTGGCAGTCCCGGCTGGGGCGGCGGCCAGCGAGGGCATCGTTCCTGGGCCGTCCCAGGCCGCTGTGCTGGCCACGTGTTACCCGGGGCTGGGCGGCAGTCCCGGCTGGGGTGGTGGCTGATGGGAGCATCGTTCCTGGGCCGTCCCAGGCCGCTGTGCCGGCCACATGTTGCCACGGGCCGGGCGGCAGCTGGCAGGGGCATCATTTCTGGGCCGCTGAGCCGACCACGCGTTACCCCAGGCCGGGCGGCAGTGGCTGGCGGGGACATTGTTCCTGGGCCGGCCCTGGGCCAGAACCGGCCATGCGTCGCCCCGGGCCGGGCGGCAGTTCCGGCGGCCGGTGGGGGCATCGCTTCCTCTGCCATCCCTGGGCCGCTCCCTGGGCAGCCGAGCTGGCCAAGCTTCTTCTTCTGGTTAAGCAGGGAGAATGCTAATTGGGGAGTGGGGGGAGACAGAGAGACCCCCATCCTACTGCCAGGCTGTTGGTCGCAGGTGGATTATCTGCCAAAGAGCCGCTCACTCGGCTGGGCCTGCAGAATGGAAGAAGCTCCCACAAACGGCTGAAAACTGATCTTGTCAAGAGCTATTTTCTCAGGCAGATAGAACCGACATTGACAGCCTCCGGGTTGGGGTGGGGGGCTCATGTGTGGCCTTGGCAGGAGCCCAAAGTCCACCTTTTCCCGTCCGCCAGTCCTGCAACAAAGCAGACACCCCTCTTGGCTGTCATATCTATCAGGAGCCTATGAAAAGAGGTGGATAGGGCCCAGTAATGCTGCCGAAGAGATAACGCTCAGTGGAAACCCAGCCTCCCTCCCTCCCTCTCTCTGTCTGTCTGTCTGTCTCTCTCTCAGACAAGGATTTCACACTATGTTTATGAGAGAGTCACGTCTAAATGAGATCTGGATAAAATTTTCCTCTCCAGAAGGAGAGACAGAGAAGAAAGAGAGAAGAGAAAGAGAGATGAGAGAGAGAGAGAAGAGAGAGAAGACAGAGAGGAGAGAGAGTGGGGGAGAGAAGAGAGGGAGAGAAGAAAAAGAGGGAAAGGAAAGAGAGGGGAGGAAAGAGAGAGAGAGGAAAGAGAGGGGGAGAGAAAAGAGAGAGAGGGAAAGGAAAGAGGGAGAGGAAAGAGAGAGAGAGGAAAGAGAGGGGGAGAGAGGAAAGAAAGAGGGAGAGGAAAGAGGGAGAGGAGAGGAAGCACAAGTGCCTCTCTCTCTCTCTCTCTCTCTCTCTCTCTCACACACACACACACACACACACACAAACAGAATATATGCAGTGTTATCTTCATTTTAGATGTCAAAAGGGTTTTGCGGCTCCCAGTGTTTTGTTTTGGGTGGGAAACGGGTCCAAGTGGCTCTTCGAGTGTTTTGGGTTGCCTACCCCTGGTATAGGTTCTCCTGCTTGAGCAGGGGGCTGGACTAGAAGACCACCAACGTTCTGTTCTGTTCTGTGCTATTCTATTCTTTCTCCAGGTGGACCTCTCATTTTTCTAGAGGGGCGGCATGTCAGAACTGTATATTCTCAAATTCCCATATATCGTCCTTTTTTGGGTTCTGCCATTCTCCTGGCAGGGGAGTCACGGGGACCCTTGCAGTACTGGGAGGGAGATACTGTCTCTGCTTTGATCTATCTACTTTGATGTGCCCGCTTTGGGGTGTGACTGGAACGTGCCTCCAGGCCATCTGCCTTATCTCCGAGCAGAGGGAGAAAGCTGTGGAGACCTAACAACCTTGAGAAGAGGCACCTTATCTGTTCATTCCCACAGCAAAGTGACACCTATGGATTGGCCCATCTGAAGGACAGTTGGGATGGGATTTCGATTGCTCCTTTAACCTATTGATTCAGGTGGGATAGCTTTCCTGCTATCTGTACCTGCCAATAAAAGTTCCTGTTGAAATGACATGTATTTCAAGAGTTCTGCTTTCTTGGTAGGAGGAGGGAGGCAGGCCCTTACAGGGGGTATGATTTAGAACCTATAATACTGACAACGAATTATACAGATTATGTTCACTGTAACAGCAGGTCGTTTTGTCAGTTTTGCTTAGCCCTGATCGAGATTAAGGTTGTCAGGAAAAAAAATATTTGCAAAATAATTTCTTTATAACAGAAACTATAATAAAGAAGAGGTTAACATGTTCACTTTGACATTGCATTATACCCCATTACATTTCTATTCTTTCAAAATATCTTCAAAGACTTCATCCATGAATTTTGGGACTGTTTTTAATGCTTCTAAATTTAATTTTTCAGCCATTGGACATATTTTATGAACAGTTAGTCCAATTCAAATACTTTAAAACAGAAGCATCTTTTGAGAATTATATATCATATTTTAAAAACTGAACATGTTGTGAACACTCTCTTACCTTCAGATGGTTTGCCTACTCACAAGATGTTTATTATATGGAATCACAAAATATGCACTAGGTACAATGCAAACTGCTATATTCTATGCTATCCTTTCTTGTTGGCCCCAGGCTATAATTACCATCTTATTTGGCAAACTAGGTCTAGAAGATTCCCTGTCTTTCCTGTCCTTCAGGTAGCTGGGCACACTGTTGTCCTGCAGGGAAATAAGGTGGTAAGCAAACCTGATAGCTTCTCTTCATTTCTCACAGCAACTAAAGCAATGTTTCTGAGAAAAAGTGGAAGATAGAGCCATTTCCACCGTGCCATAAACTTCATTAAGCTCTGTCCTCACACCACATGGTCCCAATCTTGATTCATTTCTAGATGTCCCTGTTTGAAAATGCCTCCCAGGACCATGACAGAAAAACAGAGAAGCACACATTAATTCCACCTATCCTAAACATGGTAGAAAAAAGGAATGGTTCTATATTCTCACCTGGTGATGCTTGCCCTGGATTTTGGCTCGAGCAATGTCAGAGCTGTTGCGCCGGGGTCCACGTCGATGACGACCATAGTTTGCTTCTTGGAGCTCTTTTATTTTTTTCCTTTGCAGACGTAGTTGGTGGCTGCAGCTCACATTATACCTATTATGACCAGATATAAATACGAATTTTTGTTAGTTAGAAATAAAATAAAACTTCTTTTCTATTAGGATCTAGGCATTCACACTCTAAATTACTTGTTTAGGAGTCATACATTTCAAGAAGAAGATCCAATTTTTACTACCTCTTTGCACATGTTACAGAACAGAACCTCTTGGAACCACGGAACTGACTGGCAGGGCCATATTTGCCACAGAACTCACATTTCAGCAAGTTTCCTTTCTTGTCTTGATCTGAGGAAAAGAGAGATGCTAATTTGTTAATTAGCAAAAACAGGATATAAACCTAAAATCTATTTGAAAAAAAAATTGTAGTTCCACAGAAAGAATACACTAAAAATTTATTTAAAGCATGACTCTCTCCCTTAAAAAAGTCTCAAAGCCTCATGGTTTTTATACTGGGTAAACATTAAACCTTGACACTGAATGTAATGCTAACAGTCAAGGAAGACCACATCAATTCCTAAGAATGTGAATTGGCACTCAGCCTCTTTTTGCTTTTAAAAAAAATTAGAAAAATGGACAAAATATTTGAAAAGTATTTACCAGTAGTAGAAGGAAAATATCTCACCATAACCATGATGCAAGGTTTCTTTCTATCTACTCTTAGTTCTCAGCAAACACTTACCAACTGTTAAGCTTTCATCTCCAGGAGAGTTGCTGGGTTGGTTGTCAGGCTGCCTAGGAGTGGCCCCTTGAAGAGGCTTTTCAAAGTCTTTAAGGAACTGAGAATAGCCCACCTGCATTCAAGAGAAGAGGGAGAAAAAAACTTGCATTAGCTTCATCAACAGCATTCACCTTTTACATGCCTCATTAGAGCCTTTAGGATTACTGCATTTTTTCCCTCTGGCTTTGGTAACATCAGCTTAGTCCACAGGTAGCTCATTCTGGCAGGTACAGAAGAGCAAGGAAGAATATATTGCTTGGTTATGTTACAATTACATTGTCCCAATTTTTTAAAAAAAATGTTTGCTTTAATTGATTTGAGTACAAAAACAAAAAGAAAAGAAAATATAATACAATTTTAGAACAGGAAATAGGATAAAGAATGCACATATATAAACATTCTATATAAACATTTCAATGAATGGTAGCTGGATTTCATTATAATTGTTTATTATAATCTATGTCAATAAATGCTCATAACATTAAGTTTGAAGACCACTAAGGAGCTGAGAGCCATATTTCTTTGCAATGCTAAAGAATACATCTTTTTGCTATAAATAGGAAACAAAAATTATACTTTCTATATTCAGATGTCTACCTCTATGCAGTAGAAATATAGTTCAAAAGAATGTGAACATATCAAATCTTGTCTCATAAGTTCTTACATGTAGTAACTACCTCCTCAATGGAACAATTACAGGACAAGGAAGAAATATGTATTTATATGTATTTGTGTGTGTGTGTGTGTGTGTGTATGTATGTATGTATGTATGTATGTATGTATGTATGTATAAATAAGAGATGTATTTATAAGAGATGTGGTGGCGCAGTGATTAGAATACCGTATTGCAGGCTAACTCTGCTCACTGCCAGGAGTTCAATCCTGACCAGCTCAAGGTTGACTCAGCCTTCCATCCTTCCGAGGTAAATAAAATGAGGACCCAGATTGCTGGGGGCAATATGCTGACTCTGGAAACCACTTAGAGCAGGGCTTTTCAACCTTTTCACCCATTGTACCGCTTTTAGAATATGGCAATATCCGAGTACCACCAGTCACCTAGCAAGGTGTCAAAACTTGATAACCAAAAAAAAAAAAAAAAAAAGGGAAAAAAGTGATAAAGTACAGGTAGTCCTTGACTTACAACAGTTCACTTAGTGACTGTTCAAAGTTACAACGGCACTGAAAAAAGTGACTTATGACCATTTTTCACATTTATAACTGTTGCAGCATCCCCAGGGTCTTGTGATTTACATTCAGATGTTTGGCAACTGATTCATAGTTATGATGGTCACAGTGTCCCAGGGTCACGTGATCTGCTTGGGCGAACTTCTGACAAGCGAAGTCCATGGGGGACGCCAGATTCACTTAACAACCGTGTTACTAATTTAACAACTGCAGTGATTCACTTAACAAATGTGGCAAGAAAAGTCATAAAATGGGACAAAACTCATTTAACAAATTTCTCACTTAGCAACATAAATTTTGGGCTCAATTGTGATTGTAGGTTGAGGACTATCTGTACACCCACTTACCACACTTTTAATGGGAAACTTGTGCCTGTTTCTCTGACATTAATCTTTGCACTATTCTATCCCCTTCTCTCCTTCTGGTTGATTCAAAGAAGCTGATAGATAATTGCAGGGGCTTTGGAGGGGGGGTGCGGCTTCTGCACTTTAAGTGAGGGCATGGGAGGCATATTGGGGTGCTAATTGGCTATCCCCCAAAGATTCCTAACTTTAAAACAACTCTTGGGTGGCAACAGTTACTCAGCATGAGGGGCTCAGGAGAAAGAGATGCCGGCAATGCTAACTCCCAAAAATGAGGGGCTCAGAGACAGCAACAAGCAGGGGAGGCGGGGGCGGGGTAAAGAAAGGAAACCTGATTGACAGGGAGCATAGGGCAGGGGGAAGATTCCCATCATCCCCGGCCCGGTAGGGGTCTTCCTGCTCCACCGTTGCAGACAAAGGGAGGCTCCAATGAGAAGGAGGAAGAGGGTTTAAGTTTAGCAACTGGAGTGGGGATCCCCTCCAAAAAACGTGCTTCGTGGGTAACCACCCAG